TGAAAAATAATCAATATTTATACTTTCCTCTTACTACAAAAAGCCATTTACATTTGAAACAGCATTTCTGTTTATGAGAATGAATTTCTGCAAAGCAATTGTTACATGGGAAGAACTTTTTAGGTGTAAGTTTTAACTTGCAAAACTCAGCATAATTGTGAGTTTTGTGTAGGTTTTTGCTCAATAGTAAGAAGTTGTAGTTTCACTAGTAGGGGAACACTGGAGTGCTGATAAAACTGGTGCATTCTATAAAGGCTTGGATTTTTTTTTCTCACAACTATTTGAAAGATTGGCACAATCTGTTGCTCCAAGAACCAAACCAAAGTGTCCTGTAGTAAATATTCCTGAAAGCAACACCTGCTTGTCTTTGAGGAGCTCCCACAAACTGGTGGAATTATCATAAAGATAATTATCATAAAGATAATTATCATAAATATAATTATCATAAAGATAATTCCTGTTTTCCTGCCTTACCAAGCCCAGGAGTTGTTCCAAGCCTGACCTGGGGAGGAGGTGCCCTGGGAAGTGCAGGTTTAGATTTTCTCTCTGCTTTAACTCCATCTGCATTCCCTCTGCTCGCTGAATCATCTGTTCCAGCCCTGCCAAAATGCCTTTCCTTGCTCTTTTGTGGCTGCCTGTGCCTGCTGGATCCTGGCTCAGCGTTTCTCAGGCGCTCCCAGCTGTCACCACTCCTCGGGGTGACAATCCCTGCTCCTGCCAGCTTCTCCCTGATTTTCCCACTCCAAGCCCTGCTCTCCATCCCCCTGGCACTGCAATCATGCAGCATCATCCCCATCACTGATCCAGGCTTTTTTCCCAGGATGTTGGCAAATTTATCTTCTTTTTCTGCCTGGAGAGGAGCTGAGTATTGGAGCTATAAATTATTCTCAGGATTAACTTATTTGACCTGCTCTCTTTTTTTATTTTGTCTAAGAAACTGTCACTTGTGGTGTTTGTTTTTGTTGTTTTTTTTTATCTCACTGCTGTATCCCTGGTTGTTCCCCTTGATTTTTTTCTCTCCTGTCCAAAGGAGGTGAATTTTTCTGTTTTTGCTCTGACAGCTGAGGCTGTGTCACAAAAATATTACAAACCACATCCTGCACAAGTTTCCAGTAGCCATAAACATTTGCTCTAAAAACCTGTGTAGGATTTTGTTGAGGAAATTATTTCTATAAATCTGGATGATATTTATTTAAATGCTTATTAATAATGTGCAAATAAAATATATTGATATATTCTCAGGACCTAATAGAAACCACAGAAGCACAAATGTCTAAGAGAAATAACAGAAGCACATAATAAATGTGAGTACAGATTGGTCTTACTTTTGTGGGGGCATTGTTCTCATGTAAAAATTGTATATGAATATCAAATAGCCAGACCTATTTGGGGATATCTATTTTTCAAGGTTTTTAAAGCATTACAATAATATTTAAATATAATACATATTTCTTATAACTATATATTTAGATCTAACTGGTTCTCAAAACTAGAAAAAAAAAAATAATCTCACCTCTGCCCCTGTCTCTAAACTTCCAAAAATGCCTTAAAATAATCTCTACAACACTAAACTTCCAAAGATACCTTAAAACACTCCCTACAACAATCCCTCCTCTCTGGGTGAAACATGGAGATGCAGCAGGGATTTCTCATGACAGATCTGATCTTTTCTCTCTGCTTCCATCAGGACTGTGACAAAATCATGGTTCATTTTGCTTTGCTCTGTTATCCTCTGTGAGGGTAAAACCCTGGAGCTCAATGATTTCTCCAGATGACTTCAGGCTGGAAGTGTCCTGAGACAAGAATTTGACTCATAATTGTTGGGGTTTTTTTAAGTTATGAGATTTATTTTTTTCAGCACCATCCATCTAAAGACTCACTTTACTCACCCATCAATATTCACACTTTAAAGGATGATTTCCTGTCAATGACCTACAGAAATTGGGCCCCTCCAACAATAAAGACCCCAATGACATCAACATCTGCCCCCATCCAGCCCTTCATTTGCATTAGAGAAGGGCTGGAGTGATGAGGAAGTTAACAGAGAGATCATTTTCAATTTTCACATTTCCCAATTAAGTGGCTCCATGAATCACCATTTATTGGCAGCCCAATCATGGAAGCAGTGACAAAACATCCCTTGACTTCCACAGGATCTTCTCCTGAACGCTTCAGAGAGGGAAAAAGTGAAGTACTGGCATTTATTGACCTTTACAACCCATACAATAATCAATTTGTCTTTTCTTGGGCATGGAAAACCACCGACTGTCCTTCGGCTCCAAACTTCCCATGGCTACCTCAGATTTTCCCATGGACAGCATCACAGCCCTACAAGCAATAAACTGACAATATTCCTAACAATAAAACCTGGTGGAATGACAGGAAAGAATCATTTCTCTGCCAGCTGATATTTCTTTACACATCTGATGCAAATCTAAAAGCAAAGTGATGGGGCCAGGGATGGAGGGAGATGTTGCAGCATCCATGTGGAGCTGGAGGGGACAGAAAATTGTCTGGTGTGTGTGTGGACTGCTGCTGGTGACCGTGGCAGGGACCTCCCTGAGCAGAGAGAATGTGGGGGATACAGGGGGTGTCAAATGTCAGGTGTGTAAAATACAGAGGGTGTAAAATAGAGGGTGTGTAAAATATGCAGGGTGTAAAATAGAGAGTGTGTAAAATTCAGAGGGTGCAAAATGTCAGTTGTGTAAAATGCAGAGGGTGCAAAATAGAGGGTGTGTAAAATTCAGAGGGTATAAAATGGTGTGTAAAATTCAGAGGGTGTAAAATAGAGGGTGTGTAAGATGCAGAGGGTGTAAAATGGTGTGTAAAATTCAGAGGGTATAAAATGGTGTGTAAAATGCAGAGGGTGTAAAATAGAGGGTGTGTAAGATGCAGAGGGTGTAAAATACAGAGGGTGTGTAAAATACAGGGTGTGCACAATGCAGAAAGAGCTGAAGTTTGGGGTTTGGGGAGTTATCCTGGCTCACTTGGAAGAAAAAGTCACAAAATCAGGGGGTGAGCCCCAGCTCATCCCCCTGCAGCACCTCACCCTTTCCTGAGTCTTCTCCAAACCCATCCCCTCATCCAAAGGCCCGATTCCATCTGGATCTTGGCAGAGCTGCCTCAAAGGATCCAATTCTCTGACCCAGCTCAGCTTTGCTGCTCTGTTCTTGGCCTTCCCCAATATTGTGCTGTGAAATTCCCTGTGTGTACACAAACATTTATATATGCACATATGTATAGGTCATTTTATATACATTTATATAAATATAAATATATATATATATATATGCAGGTTGGGATTGCAAATACAGATTGAACCAAACCCAGTATATTTTAAGAGAACAGAAGCTTTTAGCAAATGAAGGTTAAAGAGATCAGGTTGTCAATGAAATAGAAAAACTCTTGTTAAAAAGCAAATAAAACAGTGCTAAGTACAACCATTGTGATCTGGTTTCTGATACATCATTATAATTTTTTTTAATATTAAAAATATTTTAAAATATTAAACAATATTAAAAAATAAGGAGGAAGCAGAACAATTGTAGTGCTGACACTGAAGCAAATGGAACCAGCAAACCCCACAAAGCACAGCCCTCCCCAGAGCAGAAGCACATGATGGAGAGGCTGTTTGACCATTCCATTTGTTGACAAAATTATCAAGATCATTAGGCTGAGTAAGGAGATGAGATTTACAAGAAAAAAGAACAGTAACATGGAAAAATAGAGGTGAAGGGTTTTATTTGAACTGAGAAATTGCATTTATTATTTAAACACCATCATCATCAATTGTCTGGATGCCAGAAGTAGCCTGGAAAGATGAGATTTAAAAAGAGCTTAAACATGGAGAGAAGATCAGCACAAGGGCAATGAAAACCAGCCCAGACTGCTGTCAATTGAAAGAGCAGGTTTGGATGGGATATTGAGAAAAACCCTTCCCTGTGAGGGTGGTGAGGGGCTGGAATTCCCAGAGAAGCTGTGGCTGTCCCTGGATCCCTGGAATGTCCAAGGGGATTGTTGGATGGGGCTGGGAGCAGCCTGGGAATGGGGAAGGTGTCCCTGCCATGGCAGGGGTGGAATGAGATGAATTTTAAGGTCCCTCCCAAGCCAAGGTGCCTGTGCCATGAACGTTCTCCCTGTGCCACGGGATCAGCAGCAGCAACATTCCCAAATTACCCAGAGGCTGCATAATTTATAAATTAAATAATATATAATGCCTAGGAACGCAGACTCAGAAAATGCCCTTTCATCCTTATTCAGAGTTTTGAGTACACAAGCACAGATGCTCACACATGGGGATAGAAATTCAGTTTTTCTGATGGTAGAAGTTCTCCCTGTCTCCTCTGATATCATGAAAAGCCAAAATAATTCAGTATCAGGTTGGAATAGATCTGTTGTGAGCAGCAATGCATCTGGGGCTGTGCTAACATAAACAATCCCAAGCCAAATTTTATTTCTCCAGAGAGTCCCCCTGTTTAAGCTGCTTTTCCTCATCCTTCAAGGCCATGGCCTGTATTCATCTGGAGAGAACCTCTCCAACTCTAAAGCACATTTCTGAACTTCACTCAAAAGCCAGGGCTCCTCTGAGTTATTAAACCATTAAAGGCCTCTGTCACTCCCAATATCGAGGTTACTCATCAAGTGATTACAGCAGTTAAAGTTGCAGCTGGAGCAGGAAAAATGCAGCACCCATTTTTTGAGATGAAGAACAATCCCAGGTGGGTTTGACATGTCAGAACTGTGCTGAAGTGCTGCTAATTAAAAGGCAGCTGACAGAAAAGGAACTTAAAGTATTGTTCCTAATGCTATGAAGAGAAAGTTGTTTGATTCTTCTCTGCACTGAAGAAATTTGTCTTCCATTTCATTTAAATGTATTAAAAGTCCACTATTAATTTGATTTAGCTGAGTTCCTTTAGGTTTGGAGAATTAAAGTGTTCCCAAGATGGGAAGTGACAAATCAAGAACAACAACAACAGCCTTTGCTCTGAGCAACCAGCAGCTGCTTTGATCCTGAAAAACTCTGGAACCAGGGAATACAAAGTCCCTAAACATTCTGTACACATTCCATGACTTTTTGACTTGGAATTTTGCCAGCACACAGCGAAGAGTTGGAAGAACAATCCTTGTGTAGAATTGAGCCTTGAGGTGAACGTGGCTCCCGTGCTGGACCCACCTGGGGTGAAACTCTTGGTCTGCTGGAACATTTCACCTGCCAAGAAAGGTAATTCCAGCATGGAGCACCCCAACATCATGGAAAAGACAGAAATTTGACTTCCCTCTAATTTCTGTGGAGCTCCAACTTCAGTGTTGGTTAATTTGGGTTTGGTTTTTTCAGCTCTCAAGGCCTCGAGTGCACCTAAGAGCTCAGATTTACCAAATCTTGCTTCTAGAAGAAACATGGAAAAAAAAAATCCCTCATTTTGGACTAATCTCCTCTTGGAATTTTCTGTTTCCCTTCACATTTTGTGGAGGGTGACCACTCAGTTATTTGTAACCCCATCAAGCAATGCTAATTTAGTCATGATCACTCCTGCTCCAGCTTGTTACATTCTGGATTTGGGCATCCTTCATTAGTTTCCTTATTGCAACCACCAGAATTATTCATGTGCTTATCTGTGTGTCTGAGCATTTGGCTGCTCAGAAACTTATTTTTAAAATGCTAACCAACAGCTGGAGTTAATGTTACATGAAAAATATTAATTCAACTGATATTTTCAGTAACTCTTCAACTCCTGAATTTCTGTGTTCGGATTGGGATCATCCAGACTTGGCTTTTTAAGTGCAAGCTACGCTAACAAAGACAAAAAGTGGATTACTCAACAATTACATGTAAATGTATGAGTGTGTATAGATATAAATATATTTATTTACTAGCTGGTTTTAATATGCAGTGGAAAGTTAGAATTTGCTGCAGAAACCTTTGCTGCAGAAACCTTTTCCTGGAGGAGAGATGTATTAAAATTCATTCAAGAAATCTTGCTGACAACTTCAGAGAATTCTATTGCTGCTTCTATTTTGAGCTGGTTTGTGAGGGATTTATCAGGTTTGTGAAAAGCTGCAAAATGGTGCTGTGCATTGTGTGGTGATACAATGAATTCAGCCTTCCTGGGGCCATTCAGACTTGTGCAGAAGTATTTCAGCTTCATGATGGGATGCTGCTCAGAGGGCAGCACCTGAGTTTTGTTTACAGAATGAAAAAAAAGTTCTGTCTTTAAATGAAAACGAGGTGTTAGGGCACACCAAAGTAAAATGAAAATTAATGTTATTAACATCTCTAATATGTCATGGCAAAAAATGCCTGTTTGGTAATAAACATCATTTGTGCTTCTGGATTAAGAAAATCATCTCAGAAAATAGGAAAGAAATAGAATAATAGAATTCCAAAATGGTTTGGGTTGGAAGGGACCTTAAATCCTATCTGATTCCAACTCCCTGCCATGGGCAGGGACACCTTCCACTGTCCCAGGCTGCCCCAAACCCTGTCCAGCCTGGCCTTGGACACTGCCAGGGACCCAGGGGCAGCCACAGGGAAGAATTCTTCCCTAAGAAACTCCATTTTTCATGGGACACAGCTGGACTTGGGAGCAGCTCAGGGTGCAGGAGCCTGACTGCCCCAAGGTCAGCCTGGCTGTGTGTGAGGCTGTGCAAGAGAAAACCATCCAGGTTATTGCAGCTTCTTCAACAAAGCCCTTCCAGAGAAAGAAATAACCCCAAACAGCATAAAACAAACTCTTCCCCCCAGATCCCACAATAAAGCAACCACGGGGCTAAAATCTTGTTCTCTTTTATAACTCACAATATTTATATTTATGATTGACTTATTTAATCTTCTTTAGACACACTAGGACAACTCTTTCTTTTCAAACTGAACAAAATGTAGAGTTTTAGATGAGTTGTATTTATGACAGGAATTATGTGATGTGATGTGCCAGCAGCAGACAGGATATGCCAACCCAGGAGATCTTTTCCCTCTTCTATTTCCCTTTCAGTGTTCCTGTGTTCCTACTTAGGAGCCTGCTATAATAAAAGTAGTGCTCATAATATTGCAATATACTTTTCCAGATTACTTTAATAGTGCCAGAAAGATAACCAATGAATAATCATAATAAAATATATGTAAAGGGGATCACAAATCTCACTGATGCAGAACAGGAAGAATTTATTATCAAAGTGTTGTTAATGACTTTCTGCCTGCCCCTTTGAAAATGGCTCTGAGCTTAGCACTATCCCTTGGAAATCCAATTCATAAATCCACAAGCAGCATGAAATTCCAGTAGGAAATGAAGCACTTTTATTCCAATGTATTACAGCACATTAATGCTGTTTGTTAGAACATAAACTGCCGGAAACGCCGGAACACAAACAAGGAGTGACCTCAGTGTGGGGCTTTACAAAGTTCTGGGGTTAAAAGCCAAAGCTCAGCTCTCAGACAGCTCAGGTTAGGAAAAAAACAGATCTGGATGAAATTCCTAATGTAATCCCAGTGCTGCTTCTGGGAGCAGAGCATCCCTTCCCTGCGCTGGGAATCGCTGCAGGAGCTGCAGGGACAGGAGCGATGCTGCCGAGCACAGCCCTGTGCAGAGCAGGTGCTGCAGGCCTGGCAGCAGGGCTGTGGCATCCAGCAGCTGCTGATAAGGGATAATTTTTCCTGGGAGCTCTCTCCAAAGCCTTTCTCCAAGTGCCTCCTCCTCGTGACTGCCTCTGCTCCCATTTCCCTCTGAGTGCTCCTCTCCAGCACACTCAAGTGATCTGCTCTGCCTGGAGGGGGAGAGAGAGTAGCTGAATTCCTAAATACTGCCATAAAAACACACTGGCTGCTAACAGGACTCTGGAAATATCTGGAAGTACCCTTGTTTCCTATTCCCATAGCTCTGCTGAATACTTCTGCTTGGTGCAGCTGGAAATTCTTGTGCTACCCTGCATTGCCAGGACAGATTTGGCTGCCTTGTGGCAAGAGCTGCTCATTCCCTTTCCTTCTTCTCTGTTTTTAAAGGAAATCAATATCATTAGAGACCCATAAGAGGCAGCCACAGAGGTTTATGAGTGAGAAAAAAATGGGGACCTCAGCACTGCAGAGAATCCCAGAATGGTTTGGGGTGGAAGGGATCTAAAAAATCATCTTGTTCCATCCCCTGCCATGGCAGGGACACCTCCCACCATCCCAGGCTGTTCCCAATATCCAGCCTGGCCTTGGGCACTGCCAGGGATCCAGGGGCAGCCCCAGCTGCTCTGCACAGTCTCAGGGCCTCCCCACCATCACGTGGAGGAATTTCTACCCCTCATGCCAGGCAGACCTGCCCTGTGTCACCTGGAAGCCATGCCCCTTGTTCTTCCCGTGCTGGGGACCCCAGAGTCAAACGGTGCCTCTTTGGGAGAGAAATAAATTCCAAAAAATCCTTAATCACAGATCAGAGTAATTACCTCAGGAAAAAGAGAAGATTAATTAACCACAGCTCCTGTAGGTCCTGTAGGGAATGAGAGTTTGGCAAGCCCAGCCCAGTCCCTGAGATAAGAAGTGAAGGATCAGCCACCTGGAACGGCAGCACCAGGAAGGCTCTGGAGCCACCAACGCGGCTTCCATGGGAAACCTCGCCTCTCTCTGAGCTGCAGTTCCCTCAAAATATTAAAAGGCAAATTAAAGTGACCTCTGCCATGCACAAACTTCTTCAATAACCACGGAATCCCCCTCTCCATAGCTCACTTTCCATTGCAATTTTGTATTTTTTAATAACTGTTAAGTGCCTGGTAAAGAAGAAACTGCAGCTTCACCGTCTGGGATGAATGAATTGCTGGAATGACAGGAAGAGGAAAAGAAGGAAGGAAATATCAAGAATTGGCTGATTTGGGATCAATGCTCAAAAATCAATAAGGATCCATAAATGCTGTCTTGATATCTCCATAGCTGCATGATTTATCTCCATTATCAGTGTGTTGATTTATAAGCAGGCAGGTTAAAGCTGCCTGTGTTCCTAAACAAACATTTTCATCTCATCCTTAGCCCAGCACTCTTCCCTCCCTTTCCTTTTGAGCTCTAAGATCCCAGACTGACTAAAACATCATTTTTGACTTGACTTGAGAGACAGAGAAACAAAATCTGCAACAGGACGTGCCCAGAGCAGCTGGGGCTGCCCCTGGATCCCTGGGGGTGCCCAAGGCCAGGCTGGACACTGGGGCTTGGAGCAGCTGGGACAGTGGGAGGTGTCCCTGCCATGGCAGGAACTGGATGGTTTTTAAGGTCCTTCCAACCCAAACCATTCTGGGATTTCAAGTCCATGAGCTGAGAAAGAACCCACGCGTTCCTACTGCAATTTGATGGCAAAAGACCAATTTTTGTGTTTTCCACTTTGCTCTTTCTTCCATCTCCAGGAATCCAGTGATGAGGATGAAGAACAAACACTGCTGCAGTGACTGATGGCCTCTCCTACCCAATCTCTTGTGGTTGGTATTCCTGCTCTGTAGCCTGGGAAGGGTTTAGTCCATTATTAAACATAATTCCAGCTCTGTCTTGTCAGGTTTAATGCAGCTGGTGCTGTCTTTGAAAGTCAGGGCCCAAGACAAGCACCTGAATGTCTCATTGCTTAAAATCAGACATCTAAATCCACCTTACACATCCAAATAAGCCAGAGGAGTTCTCAGAATGCTGAGAATCTCTAACATCCACAGCCTCAGTGAGACCTCTTTAGAAACAGAGAACTCTGATTAGTACCAAAATTGTGGAATGCCTGGTACCCACACTTGAGTATCTCCTTCAGAGAACTCTGTATTTCATCCCCTGAAATGTTTTCATTTCCTGGAACAGCTGTGTTTATTACTTTAATAAACTGAATTAGGAAATATGGTTATTGGTTTCCTAACTAGGCTGAATTAAGTTTCATTAAAAAATAAAATCCAGGATTCTAGTTTATACTTGGTATAAATGCACTTAAAATGTTAGAGCAACCATACTCCTTTTCCTTTTAATATGTAGATTTTAAAAAAATCCTTCCTGCATTAAACCCAGAGATATACTCAACATTTCAAATGGACTAAAATATAATAAATAAAAATTTAAATTAAAACATCTAGTACATAATAGTTGTGGACTTATTATGTGTATTTTTTTTTCCTGCTTGCAGCAGACCACAGATCTGTAAAATATCCTCATTAAACCAGCAGGATGATGCTCCAAAGATGTCACCTGGAGTTAGGGCAGTGCAGGGATGTGGCTGCAATGTCCCAGTGAAGTAAAAACCAGGGAGGATCAGGATGGAGGGAGTGCCACGCCCTGAGCAGGGACAACCTCATCTAATCTGCTGGAAAATTCTGCCAAAATCAACTGGAATTTGACATAAGGAAATATTCATCATCATGTTTAGATTGAAAATTAGGAAGGAACTCTTCCCTGTGAGGGTGGGGAGGCCCTGGCACAGGGCTGTGGCTGCCCCTGGATCCCTGGCAGTGCCCAAGGCTGGGCTGGATGGGGCTTGGAGCACTCTGGGACAGTGGGAAGTGTCCCTGCCATGGCACTGGATGGGCTTTAAGGTCTCTTCCAACCCCAAACTCTTCTGTGACTCTGCACAGAACTGGGGTAAATGCTAATTTATAATAAACACTCAGAGTACAGCTGATTATCAGCTCCACACAAACAGAAGAGTAAAATGGGACAAGACGCAGCTCACAAAAGCAAAGTCCAGATCCCAGGTGTTAGAAAGCAAACTGAGAAAGAATTACCAGGTTTTGGATTTTCCACGGCTTGGGGAAGCAGAACTCCTGATGATCTGATGTGTTTCACAAAACTCGCTGTGAGCAGCACGGCACAGAGAGTCAGGCAAACGTAGTAATGAGGAGATGTAGGATGTAAAAATAATTAGTCAGGGTTTATGGAGCCTACCAGCGAAACACAGGGAGCTGTGAAGTTATCAAAGGCTCTGTGCAGGGTATGATAATGGGAAAATGTGGCGTGGCAGATTCAGAGAGAGAAGTGCAGGCCCTCCTAGCACAACTAATACAACTTCATTGCAGTTACTCTTGGGATTAGTCATTGTAAGCACAGCAAAACGTGGATAAAACAGCCTATTTGCACTGTATCAGCACCTGCTTTATTGATCCTATAAACTGCTCCTCCAGTCCTGCTCTTAACACATTTTGAAACAAAGAATCCTTGAAAGACATGGATGGCACTCAGACAGTGGTTCCCTTTCAAACAAGTGGGCTCTGAACACCAAACCCACAGAAGCAGCTTTGAAAGTGCCCACCTTCATCTTTCCCCTCCCTCACCATTAAAAACACTCTTCCACATTGCCAGCAATTTTCCATCAGCCAAGATCAGAGAATTCTGCATGCTGGGGAGGACTTTTGGAGTCACCTGAAACACAACCACCTCCTGTATTGTATCACCTACAGGTAATGCAGCCGCAGAGCACAGAACAGCACCTGCAGAAAGCTTTGGAGCAAACAGCCATCCCTGGGGAAGGTGCAGACTAATTAAAACCAGTGCTACAAAAAGATGCTGCTGTTCTAACATGTGTTAATGTGAGCTGGTGCAAGGGAGAGCAATAAAAGAAATGTCAAAGGAAGCGAGGAATCGTGGAGGAGCCTGCACTGAGAGAGGCACAAACAAGAGTCTGGGGAAGCAGGGCACAGACTGTAGAAAACAGCTCTGTAAAAATGTAAATATGGGGGAAGGAAGGGGCAGATGAGTCTCTGCCATGGGGCCAAGGCCTGGTCAGTGCTCTTGGAGACAGGTGCTCCCATCAGAATGGGTGACACCGCCAAATGTGACATTTGGTTCACGTATCATCACAGTTTAGAACATGGGCTCACCTGGGGGCATCCACAGTCCAAGACAACCATTTCTCCAGGTTCCTCATAGCTGTGCTGGAATAGGAAAGAGGAGACAGATTTCCAACTCCTTCTGCAATCCCCAAATCCCTCCCCAGTGCTGCTGATCAGATCACCAGAGGTGCCATGGAATGCACAATGGACCCCTGGTCAGCTGGGGAGAAAGGATTTGTCTGCTTGTGTCTGTCCTCTCTGGCTCTGGGATCACCAGGGCAGTGGGCAGAGGCTCATCTGACAGCCTGACTTCATTCCCAGTTCCCATCCATGGCCTGACTCCATTCCCATCCATTCCCAGTTCCCACCCATGGTGACAGAGAGCAGAGCTGCATCTTTGCTAACACAAAATCACCTGGGTTCCATCAGTGTTCTGCAAACTGAGGCTGGAGGAGAACCCAACCCTTCTCACAAAGGGCTGGGAGTCCAATTTCCCTTCCTGTGTTCAGCCTCCTGGAAACATGGAAAGAAATTAAAATCCCAAGTGCTCAAAACTGGGCAACAAGAAGTGCCTCTGAAAGCTCTGTGAGAAATCCTTCCCCATCTGGTCGGTCTTCAGCTAATTAACTGACATGGTTGCAAATGAGCAGCAGCTAATTGGAGCTCTCTGTTCTGCCTTTCCCTGGCAGGAATGGAAGGGATTCCACATGACCAATGCTTCGACATTTTCCAAGTAATCTCCATTCTGGGCCGGGCCAGCCTCCCAACAACTTGTCCACATCCTCACCTTGGACTGCGAATCCAAAGAGCATCACTGGAACTGGAAAGTTGTTATGGGGAAGCATCAGGCAGATGTGTCAGGCAGGCTCCAATTCCAAGGATATTTTGGAAAACACCTGCAGGCGATCAGAGGCCAGCTGAGTCCCAGCCATGACTTCTCCTTGCAGCCAAGGGAACTCTCCGAGCTGGCCCATGGAACCTGGAGGCACAAGGGCCATGCTTGGTGCACTCTGCAGGGGAATTGCAATGTGGAAGAGGAGGTTCTGTGGGTATCCAGCAGCTGATGGGTGCCAGATCTCCAAATCTGAGGTCTTAAAAAGTAAAAAAAAATAATAAAAAGAAGCACCAGGAGGTTTTCCTGCTCCAGCCTCTGCTAGCATCCCTTCCCTGAGCTCCCAGCCTCTGTTCCAGTGATGTTATTTGACATTACCCCCAAACACCAGGAACAGCTTTACAGCAGCAAGAAATCCCCTAAACACTCTCCATATCTCAGAATTACAGAATGCTTTGGCTGAGAAGGAACCTTAAAGATCACCTAATTCCAACCCCCTGCCAGGGACAGGAACACCTCCCACTATTCCAGATCCAACCTTGAACACTTCTCCCATTGTACAGAACCAGTGGAGCAGGTTAAACTGGGACCAGTGCTGTCCCTCTCCTGTTGTTGCCTACAGATGGTTTAAACACCTCAAACACAAACAAGCAAACAGAAATCCCCTCCCCAAACACCCAGGTGTGCAAAATTAATTGCAAAAACACAAAAAAGCACCACAATGCTCCAAAGATCAGGCCAGATGTTGTGGTTAGGCTGGACTGGGAATAACCCCCAGGATTTCTCAGAAAAGCAGAGATGAACATCATGTCCATGTGAACATATTATAGACAGAAATGTCCTTTAAAATGAGCACATCCAGTGATGGATGGCAGCCCCAGTTGTTTTCACGTGTTTTGCTCTTAATTGCAATATGGTAAAACAGGCTTAAGCCCACTGAGATTTTTAGTTGGGTTGCAATGAACTCAAAATCTGTGAGGAGACTCATTTCTAATGGAGGTTTTCCCTATTTCTCCACAATATGGAATTTTTAAAATTCTCCTGGCTTTTCCAGTTGTCTGGTCTTTAATGGATGGTTAAAAAACCCAAAATTTGCAGTCCCAAACCATGACCAGTTCAAGTGAGGGATTTTTTTCTATTTTCATCTTAAACTATTAAATTCTAGCAAAATTACATTAAAAGCTGGATTAACTAAGAGGAGTTTTGTGTTTCTGAGTTTGGTGTCTGTGTTTATCAAGTTTGGAAATAAGAAAGCATAAATAAAACATCTCCATGGGATACAAACTCACTTCTCTGTCTCGAATACAAGAAATGCAGCTGTGGAATACAAATCATCTTCCAGCCAGAAATATCATTTAATATTTATTACTGCACACTTGGCTCTGTGGATTCAGGGAGGGTGTCCCCCACTTCATATCTGTCACCTTTTGGGGTCCTGACCTCACAGTGTGCCACCATTAAACAGTGCTGGAGCAAAATTTATTTTACCCCCATTTAAAAGTACATCAGTTTGGATGTTTCCCACTCTCAGATTTTTAGAAACAACAACAAAAGGCTCTCTTTTTCCATTGTAAGACATTTGGGAAACCAGCTGAAGGATATTCTTCCACTGTGAAAATGGGAGAACGATCCAACTGGAAGAAATCTCATGAGTGAGGGCAGAGTGGTGCTGGAATTGCCTCTGCAGAGGCTGCGTGGAGGTTTTGGCTTCCCAAAGGACTGCAGTCATCAAGAGCTTTCCAAGAGCTTCCAGGAAAAACAAATTACTCATTTTGATCAAAAAGTCAACTCAAGTTTTGAGGAAAATGTGAATATATAAAAAACCTAATACAGTGTGAGGTACCTGTAGGAGAAGGCTGATCACAGGCAGTGGTTTTTAAATGCTGTCCTTATTTAAACCTCTGTCCTTATTTTTTGCACCTCAAAAATGAAAGTCAGAAGAGGTAACAACAAATTTGCTGGCAGAACTTGAACTGGAGTTCCTGTGCTCCCAATCTCTGGGTGGGAATGGTGGTGTTTGGCTGAAGGTTGGACTTACTAATCTTGGAAAGCTTTTCCAAACCTTAAGGAATTTGTGATTTTAATGCATATGGAAATAAAATTAACACCACTAAGGGCCTGCTCCATGTCCCCAGTGGGTTTGACATAGGGCTGTCTAAGGCAAAAACACTGTGGAGTTCAACAGCTTTTCAAAAAAGTCTTTTAAAGACAGGGAGAGCTCTTGGGCAGGGAAGATTTTTGACAATCAGGGCCCTTTGAACAGGAGGCAGAACCATTTTTTAGCTGTGTCTTTACACTCCCTTCCAACTGGCACCACTCTTCCTTCCAGCATGAGAAATGGGTGCCAAAAGGAGGGTGATTTTTTGGGGAAAAAAATGACAAATAAAAAAAAATAACATTGAAAGGAGAAGTGCTTTTCTATTATAAAAGGGTTAAAAAGGCCTAATTCTGAGTTTCTATTTCTGCATCCCAAGATGCTTCTTTTCCGAAAGTCAATAACTGATTTAAGTGCCACATAGTCATGTACAGACTGAAGCAATGCTTTACCTGCTTCCCAGAACAAAAAATAATCCAAAAAAGTAACTTTCCCCTCATTACTATGCACTGGCAAAGCAGAAACCAGCCAATTATCCTATGAGAAATAACAACACCTTCCCCCAAATGGGGGCAGCCCTGCAGTGGCTGGTGACAGAAACACTGAGCCCACTGCAGCCCACACCCCACGGACCATCCCTGTCCAACATCCAGGATCCCACTGGATCCTCTCCCAGGATTTTTATATCCTCATGGAGATTTTGTCAGAAGCAGCAGCAAGAATGGAAGGCTGGAGATCTGCAGATGGAACAACCAGGACTAAACCAAAACATCCTAAAGCCACTGAAATGCAGGTTAATTCAGGGACTGCCTTCAACCTGAGCCTGCAGAGGGTCCTGCTAGCACCCATCTATCAGCTGCTAAAAGACTGCCCACAGCTCTAAATATACCTTAAATACATACAGCCACTGCCAGGGCAGAGCTGGTGCCCATAAAACACTGGGTGCTGCACAGCACAAAATTTAGGAAGTGAAAGCTGGAGGTGAGGACACTCCAGTGACCCTGAACACCACGGGACATTGCCAGCACTGGCACAAGAGGTTTTTTTCCTTCTGTCAGTTTTACAAACTTCCAGGTGTTTTCCATTTCTAGAGGTGGAACCACCCTTCTGTTACCTGTACCAAAATCCAGCACCTGTTTTCTGATCACCTTTGGCTCTTGCTTATCAAGGTTGCACGCATGAAAATGATTTTTTACTGCTTTAATGTGAATTATTTCATAACAGCTCTTGGAGCACTGATTCTGTAGCTGCTGAGGTGAATCCCAGAATGGTTTGGGTTGGAAAGGACCTTAAATCCCATCCAGTGCCACCCCTGCCATGGCAGGGACACCTCCCACTGTCCCAGGTGCTCCAAGCCCTGTCCAACCTGGCCTTGGACGCTTCCAGGGATGTGCTTTAGATAATTTTCCTGTAGATATAAAGTCTTCTACACCTTTCTCCGTGCTATCACGTTTTGTAGTCTTTGTCCAGCTGTTTCCTTCCCCTTTTTATGCTCAAATTCAGCACAAAAAAAAAGAATTCTGGGGCAATGCTACGTGCATCTCCAAAGTCCCATTTTCCTGTGTAATGTTCCCTCACAGGTGCTACTTGCTCCCAAGCAGATTAGGATCACTGGAAAATGCTCAAATCTTTTAGGAGCTCTCTCATTCCCACTGTTACATAATTAACTCTCCCTGCCACCTGCATTTGTCTAATTCCAGCAAAAACAACTCCCGTGCCAGAGCCCTCACTTTTGGAGGAGTGAAGAGCCTGGGGCTGGGTGAGAGCAGCCACTGCAGCCCCAAACTGCTGGGCTTTGTGGTATTTATTAGGAACTGAATTGCCTCAGACATCACCACAGCAGTGGATACTCTAGAAAAAACCTGGATATTGCTGGCTTGCTCCTTTCCAGCAAATGGAATTATTCCAGGTGCCAAATGCCTCGTCCCCACCTTGTTCAGGGCTCTTTGTGAGCTGGTTTTTGTCGTGGTTGCCTGGAGAAAGAGCATCCTTTGGGAAGTTGTGGTCAGATGGTTTGAACACCTAAAATACAAACAAGCAACCAGAAATCCTCTCCCTGAACGCCCAGGTGAGCAAAACTATCTGCAAAAATAATTTCAAGTAACAAAAGGATCATGCTGCTCCAAAGATCAGGCCAGATGCTGTGATCTGCAGAGGAGGCATGGAACAAACCCTCACCTCACTCACCCTCAAAAAAACCTCACCTGGTTTTAATTAAACAGAGCAGAGGGTGGAAATCTGGGAAGCACTGGAAAAAAAAAAAAGAATGGGAAAATATAAAATAATTCTGTTTTCCATCAGCACAGCCCCTACACAATCCAAAGGTCAGGGATCCGGTTGAACAGGGGATGGAATAAACTTCAAATGCTGAATTTGCCTCAGAATTCACTCAAAAAGTCCCTGCTTTGTGTTCCTATCTTTTCTTTTTATACTTATCTTTTGGCAGAGGTGCTGCAGCACTTGTGGCACAGCTGAGGAGGTTTTCTGGGAGGACATTTGAAGCTCCCAGGTATGGAAGTCGCTCAAAGTCTACCATTATTATTGTCCTTCAGGAAAAACATCTGTGAGAACTCCGATTGTGCTCACTTTCAGGCTTGCTGTTATGTTGATAAACAGAACTGCTGCTGAGTTGGGCTTCTCAAAAGCCA